CTGGGGACCTTCTCTGGGCCGTAYTAACTGGGCGCCTGCTGCCGCTGGCCACTCTCGGGTGCTCTGGGCGGAGCGGGGAAGGGTCTGGAAACCCCTGTCCTGGTGAGGACAGTGCTCGGGCAGGGACGCCCCGGACAGGCCACAGCYGTCCCCGTCCCCGAGGGCCAGGCAGGACCAGAGCCACGGAGAGAAGCAGCGGCYGCGGCGGGAGGCCCAGCACAGGGCAGGGCGTGGCCGGGCGAGGACGGAGGGTCTCTGGGCAGACGCGTCAGTAAGAGGGACCCCACAGGTGTCTGGGCTGTTCTGGATGGAGGAAGGTTCTAGAAACATGTGCCAATGTTCCTTTCTCCAGGACACCCCTGCTGACCACCTCAAGTCCTCAGGCCCCTGGTCGTTGGCTCTCAGCTGCCCTCGTGCCCCTCCTGGCTACTCAGRGACATGTGGGCACCACGTGTGTCCTGGTGCCTGGGGCCTCCAAGAACTTTGAGCCTGGCCGTCCCCAATCTGTGTGGACTTTGCCACCAACACAGTGGCCACTCCTTCCACAGCCCGCTCAGAAGCCAGCCTTCCACGGTGAGGCATGGTAGAGGCTAAGGCACGAGGATCAAAAGTTGGAGGTCAGCCTCGGCAACTGAGCCAGACTCTGTCTCACAATAAAGGGTGAACAGGGCGGGCAGTGGGGTCCCGGGGTCCGGCCAGTCCCTCTGGTGGAGGCGCACCCAGCCTGGGCGGGTTGGGGCTCGAGGTACTTCCTGGGAATCGAGGGGGRCCCAGCACAGGCTCCAGCACCTCGCCTGCCGGCCTCCTGCCTGGTCCTGGGGCAGAGTCCTCCAGGACAGTGGGGAGGCAGCCCTGGAGGAGGAGAGAGTGTGGGACCCATCCCCCGCCACCACCCGTGGCAGCACCCATGGGGGCCACCGTAGAGCCCCAGCAGAGCGAGGCACGGCGGCAGGGGGTGAGGTGAGCCGCGGCCCGTGTCTCATTGCTGCGGGGCCTTCAGGGGACTGGCTGCTGCCCAGCGAGCGGCGGTGGCTGTGGGAACCCRGAGACCCTGGCGGAGTCAGGGACTTTGTGGGATGGAAACTAAGGTTTCCTCACCCCGAAGCCTCTTCTGGGATCTCCCCTCGAGTCCCCAGTGCACTGGCCTGGACCTCAGAGAGCGGCTTTGTCCCAGCGCTGCTGTCCCCGCTGCAGTCAGGGTCTGTGGTTGAAAGCGACAGAGGCAAATCCCACCAGTGAGCCTGAGGGGAAGGGGGTGGCCTGTTTAAACACGGGTTTAAGGAAACGACGTCTTGAGATGYGTTTAGCTTCAGGAGAGGCTGGATCCAGGTGCACCTGCTATTTAGGATTCGCACTTTCTCCAGCTCTGAGCTCAGCTTTCCTCTGTGTCTCCAAACGTCACCCACATGGTGGCAAGACAGTTCCCTGAATCCTGGGCTTCCATCCTGTGGGATCAGCCAACAGGGCAAAGGCTGACCTTTCTACCCAGTCCTTAGASGTCTGGGGACTAACTCRGATCGGCCTGACTTGGGTCACGGGYCAGCCCAGAAGTTGTCCCTGAGGCCCAGGGTCCTGGAAGATGCCCACGGGCCCGGCCTGGGGACTCACCCACCAGGCTGGGGAGAGGGGCCCTTCCCTCTGGAACCACAGGAGTGACARCGGGGGAGGGGGAGGGCTGCCCCCAATGGAGAAACAGAAGATGGGGACGATGTGGCCAGCTCAGGTGACGGCAGCCACTGAACCAGCCCCTCCCTGTGCTGCTTCTCTGCCCTGAGCCTCCTGTGGCCGGGTTGGCCATGACCACCTGGAGCCGGGAGCTGAGGGACAGTCCTGGAGCCGGGCGCTGGCTCCTCAGATCCCGCCCTGTTTATCCCGAGCCCGGGGCGGCCTCCTCCCAGATGCACGGCCTCCATCCGCCAGCCTCCATCCGCCAGCCTCCATCTGCCGGCCTTGGTGCAGGGTGTGGAGGCCCCGCCCTCCGCAAGCCC